GATACATACTCACTTATCAGGGTTTGGTTCTAGGATCCACATTTGAGGGAGAACATATGTCGATTTTTTTTCTGAGATTGTGTTAACTCACTTAGTATAACAGTTTCTAGTTCCATCCATTTACCTGCAAATTTCATGATTTCATCTTTCTTTACTGCTGAGTAAAACTCCATCGTATATATGAACCACATTTTCATTATCCACTAATCAATTAAGAGAAGCAGGTAGAAAAAAGAATGCACTGTGTGGCAAAGAAAGAAAAACGGGAAGGATTCATTGTCCTGAGAAGTGTGCCGATGGCTGCATTCCGGGGCACGTTCCAACGTAGAAAAAGAAAAATAATCTCAAACTGACTTGCTGAATGCTCCCTCAGGGCTTCTTTTTGTTGACAGCTAAGCAAACAAATCCTTTGTGATGTTCTAAATACTGTAACAGACAAGAACATTCGTGATAGAATTAGCTACTAACTTCTTTTGCTTAACGAGGAACGCAAAGGACACAGGACAGTGAGCCAGCCCACAGGACGGGACAACTACAATCAACTTGGGGACGTGCTGCCTCTCGCCCCTGCCTCCTGCAAGCCCAGGCCAGTCTCTGGAGCGCAAGGATTAACACTGGACGCCACCTCCACACTCAGGTCCGAGGGTGTGTGGTGCCCTCTACCATGCGCCGAGGCTGAAGAGCTCCTCTCGGGCTACAACTGGTCACTTGCATGGTCTCTATCTGCCTCAGGCTTGACAGTCTGGCCAGGAGAAGGAGCGTGGGGTGGGTGGGCCACAGGGGGTAGGCCATGGGACAAGGACATGGCACTGGGGACAATGCCTTCCACGGCAGCTGGGATGGCAGTGGGGGCCACACCCACCACGCCTGGGGGGTACCTGCTGTAGGCGGCCCCATTGAGCTCGGGGTGCACCACAGCAGGGTCCATGCTGGCCCAATGGATGGCGGCTGTCAGGTGGTCCTTGTTGACACAGTTTTTCAAGCTATCTGGGATCCGGCCTGTAATGGCTCGCCGGATCTCCCGGGCTGCCTCCTCGCGCATCTCAATGGACGCCTGCTCACTGTACCATGCAGCATGGGGGGTGCAGATGAGGTTGGGTGCATCCTTCAAGAGACCCTGGCTAAAGCTGAAGGGCTCTGACTCATACACGTCCAGCGCTGCGCCACGGATCCGTCCCTCCTTTAGGGCCTGGGCCAGCGCCTTCTCGTCCACCAGGCCACCTCGGGCTGTATTCACCAGGAAGGCCCCTTGTCTCATCTGCTTGACAGTAAAGTCGTTGATGAGGTGGTGGTTGTGCTCGTTGAGGCCGCAGTGCAGCGTCACACAGTCACTGTGGAAGAGCAGGTCCTGTAGTGTGCTCACACGCTGCAGCCCCAGGGCCCGCTCGATGCCATCCGAAAGGTATGGGTCATAGAAAAGGACGTTGAAGCCAAAAGCGTTTGCCCGCAGCGCCACTGCCTGGCCCACACGACCTAGTCCGATGATGCCCAAGGTCTCCCCACGGATCCTGGCCGCTCCTGAAGCCACCTCACGTATCTGCTCTACACTCTGGACCCGAGTGCCTTCCCTTAGCGCCTAGTGCAGCCAAGTGGTTCGTCAGTACAGGTTCAGGATGTGGCACAGGGTA